AGTGGGGGGGGGGGGGGGGGGGGGGGGGGGGGGGGGGGGGGGGGGGGGGGGGGGGGGGGAAGTAGGAGCGGACGGCCATGTTTCCGTAGTAGGAGCCGTAGTTCTGCGCGTAGCAGTGCGTGGACGACGTGTTGGCGGGGGCGGATGCCCCCCAGCTGAAGCTGTTGTAGGGCGAAACGTCGTGCTGGTACCCGGGAGTGATCGGGGGACTGGGAGTGGTCATCGCTGAGGACGGAGGGACGCTGCCGCCGTCCCCGATGCGCAGCTGTTGGAATGAGATCTCCGGCGACTGCTCCTTCTTCAGGGCGACGTTGACCGGGGGCGACACGCTGTTGCTGCCGGTGCTGGACGGGGCTGGAGGTGGCGGGGAACTCTTCGGGGCCTTCATCTTGCCCCCGCCGCCAACTCTAGAAGGCTTGGCGCTTTGTTGCTGTAGCTGAGGCTGCTGGCGGTGCTTGGCTCGTCGGTTCTTGAACCACACCTGAAACACGGAAACACGCTCTGTCGTGAAGTGCGCCACAGGCCCTGGGACACATAACTCGACGCTGGACGTGGTCGTGGTTATTCTCACAGATCCATTGCGAACCCGGTAGAAGCGTGGCTGGTCGGTCGAGAGTAGAATCGCGGGAACCTCACGCATTCTGTCCGGCTGTGTCCCTCGAAGGACACGATGAATCGTGAATAATGAAGTGGAGGCTTTGGACTGAGTTGCAGACACCTGGCGGCACTGCGGAAAACTACAAGACAGGAAAAGAGAAAAACCGGTGTCCGGGTCTGAACTTGCATCAGCGGGAGATGCTTCGGTGTTCGATACGGCGTTTGCAGAATCTCAGCTGTCGTGTGTCCGCCTGGGCTTCGAAATATCGCCCCTTTGCTCACTTTGAGTAGAGAACGAGCAACTGCATTGTATGAATTCTCATTTACTGGACTTCGTTTGTGAATTTGGCCACACGATTTTCAAAACTGCTGCCAATTTTTACACAGATTAAAATGTTTTCGATTTTTTTTTTACACTGAACGGTTTGTACAAAGGGATCAGTTCTCCGCTGGACGTTAATTCCAAACAGCCATCTTATGCGCAAAACATAAACTTCAATGCTACTCTAAGCACGTAAATCCCTTTTTACGCGAATATATAATATATTCACAAAAATATCATTAATACAATATTCCAAAAAACCCCGAACATTTCCAATTATTTATCGAATTCGTGTAACGCGAGGCTAAGCCGCTTATAACAACTCTCGAAGAGACTTCTCCATTATCACGGTCGCTAAAAAAAATTTAAAAAAAAAGTTCCGCTTTCCTTCGGCGTCATTAATATTCGCTTTGTCAGAGGCTGTCACAGCGCGAGGCCTCGGTTCCACGTTACTGAATATTGATACAGTTCCGATGCGCTTTCCATCTCCAATTCATTGCCATATTGAAACTCAATTTGTCAGCCTCACGCCCCCTCCCCCTCCCCCCGTTCCGTATCGTTTTTCATGGATGAAGCCATTTTAAACAGTTGATGTGATTTCGTGATTCAATTCATCCAGAGCTACCCCTCGCAACTTTTTCTCTTCTTTGTCCTGATCCCCTCCGCCCCTGTGAAGACGTGCAAACACTGGCCCAGTCATTCACACCCCTGTCCTGTCCGTCAGTCTTTATTCTCCAGAGTCTAATCCGCTGCTACAATGAGTCTGGCTAATGGAAAACAGCCTGCTGTAGGGCGCAGATACTGTGCTGCTACTGTGGCCAGAAACGGAAACAACAATGGCCGAAGGGCGGCTGTTACACGCTGCACCACCCCCCTCCGCGGGGGGCGGGAGGGGCGGCCTCCTGTGGCGCGTAGAGCATAAAAAATGACAAACAGAGATAAAAATGTTGGCTGCAGAGCGACCGTGGAAACTGACGCTGCGTTCATCAGCCCCGAAGAGTTCAATTTCCTTTCGCGGACTTACAGCGTTCTTGGTAAGCTTTGCTGAGCCTCGTTACTGCGGTCTGTCTCGCTTTCTCTCCGCGAGATCCCGCTAGCAGTTACTGGCTGACCGTACGCACGCGGCAGTGTTCGTCAATTACATCAAGATAAGAGGAGGCTACAGCCCTGAAGAAGGCAGCCATCTTCGGAGTCGCCGCCCTGAAAACCTCAGATCCAACAGACATACATAACCTCAACGAAGAACGCGGAAGGTTTCGTGTCTTTCGATCTGTTCCAAATTTCGTGACTTTCAAATCAGCCACAGACCGACGCAATCGCGGTCTTCTTTGTAACTCCCTCGGGGCAGATGTTCCGCACATTGACCTCACAGTAATCAGCAAAGTAATCTCAGCGGTTACGTAAAGTCACCAAATAAACAAACATCGCGGTCGAATCACCTAATGAAGTCATCATCGTCGTCGTCGTCGTCGTCAGCTTTTGGTTGTTAATTCGTCTCACATTCGTCATAGCACCGATGCCTGGCGCTTGGTCCAATTTATTCAAAATTTCCTTTATCTGTTCTTGTGTCTAATTTACCCACTTCGTTTAACGTCAACCCCTGACCCAGCTTTAAATAAAAATTGTAATACTTTTGTTGCTATATCGCCGTATTTATCTCCAGTGGCATCTCTCGTCGAAGTTGATCTACGAACAGATCGAAATCGTCGTTGTTAAGCGAAGACTCTTCTTGTCTGAATCAACGCGCGTCACTGTTTTCCCCATTGACACTTTAATAAATTCCTTTGGCACCTGAACTTGATTCCTGGATAATAATTAGATATCCGATTTATACGAATCGGTTTTTATCGTTACAATCGAGAGCTGAAAGGCTTTTATTATCGTCAAAAGCAATTATAACCGATCGCTTTGTCATCCGCGTCTGTTGAGCGCGCATTTGCGATCCACAAAGCTCTCCTAAATTCTGCCCGACTATGGAAACCTGGTTTTTTTTTTTTGGGGGGGGGGATTCTGTTACAGTCATAATATTTAGCTTTAATCATATATGCAACAAAGTGAACCGTAATTATTAAACAAAAACGAAATGTTGCCATTATTAAAATGAGTTTCCACAAAAACCACTTTTTTTTCCATTACTGTAGTCATCATAAAGCCGCTGTGTTGGTAGCCGTGGAGCGTCACTAATTCCTCTGCGTTCAAAGCGCGGATTATCTGTCATGTGGGCTGCAGTTACAGGGCGAAACAGCGAGCGACGCCGTGAATTCGTCTGCTCCGGGGGCCAGTCCGTTCGACGTCAACGCAAGCAGGTCCTTATTGCCAGGCCGGTGCACATTTAATGACGTTAAATTAACTGGAGAGGCCATTCGGCATAGATATCATTCCTTTCAAACCCAACGGTAATTACGCGACTAATTTGCTTTAATAACGAGTTTTAAGTCTTCGTTTTGTACGGATCTCGATGTAAACAACAATTATTCCCTCGAAAAACATTGAACTAATTCGTCTTTGTAATGGCAGAATGCCCGAATATTTGAATATTATTTAAACCAGCTTCCGGTCGCGTTATTTCAAAAGAGAAATCTTGGTTTCCCCATTTCGGTGGAAATTCGCTGATGATGTCTGAAAGAAAAATGTCTCAACGCATTTAGACCTAAGAAAATGAAATAAGGAAAAGCTGATTCGAGGTGCTCACAGAGACGTCAAGACGGACGGCAATTTCAGTGGTCCAGAACTAAACCGACGACGAGTCACGAACTGAAGATCCTGACTTCGATTCTTGGCAGTGCTGGTCACTTCGACCGACCCGACACGGATTGGATGCATCTGGCTCCGGACTGGGCCAGCGTCGGGCTGATGTGATTCATTAAATACCAGGAATTTCGTGGCCTGTTGAGCGACTATCAGCTTCTTCTAAGTCTCCACAATTTCTCCGTCTCTGTTTACTTCTAATTTTCCTCTGTTCCGTGGCGCTCGTTATAATCTCGTTCGCTAGGTGGCAACAGTGTCGTAGGCCTGAGCCTCGCCAAGAAACTTCCTGGATCTGTAGCGGTTCTTAATTTCAAGGTTAAAGGGCGAATTTGAGGGCGAACCACTGAAATGTCAGCGAAACAGGATTCTTTGTTAGATGTTGAAGTGCTTGTCTTTCAGTCTGACGCCGACAGCGAATCAACTACTGGATCTACGCGTAGGAAATGTGAGACGATAAATACAAAACAAAAGCATGGCGACAGTGCGAAATGTTCGTATTATAACCGAAAGAATTTAAAGCGGATGACATTTGTATTAAAGACACTCAGATCAAATTGTTCGCAACAAACGACTGATTCAGTATTAGAAATGAAATTGTTTATAAATGTTGTCATCAGGTATTCAGCCACAAATCTTAAAACCTTTCATCCCGTCCAGCTCTAAACTAAAGTCGCATGGACCAACTAATTTCGCCATATTAATTTGATTCCCTCGCCATAAACGTGTTTCCGCTCCATAATTGTCTGCGAATTTACACATATTTTTTAGAAGGAAATAGCACACGCCTCTATCGAATAACTGAACTGCCCTTAATATTAAATTTTACACTAAATGTCTAAAGAATAATGTGCCGTGTTTTGGAATTAGGGACACGGAATCTTCGTTTTCGATTCATCAGAAAGTTTGTAGGCCAACATTTCTCACCCATTTTCAAAAGCATCCTTTCATAAATGCGTGGAACAAGGTTTTATTTTTTATATAAATGAGTTCGTGGCGTCCGCTGCGGAAAAATAGTTCGCGACAGAACGACGTTGGTTAACGCAGCAAACAAACGAGAAACGCACGGCGTCTCATTTCCAGGCCTCGCTCACAACTTTCGCAGAGAACACGGCCCGTACAGCTCACTCACGCCTCTGTCCGCAATAAATTCCGGTCTATAACTGAACGAAATCTACACTTTTAATAAAAGGATATTTCATTTCCGCTGTCTCGAAGCCATTTCCGGTCTGTCACGTGATTTCTATGAAAGGCATTTTGAATCCTCAGAAGAATACGTGTCTTAGGACTGTTTGTTTGTTTGTTTGTTTGTCTGTGGACTTGACAGCGCTTCAGTCTTCCTATCAACCACTGAATTTAAAAAAAAAAAACAGTACGTAAGAGTAAGTTACTGAAACATTTGATTGGAATATAATAGCCGATGTCCGTCAAAGAGGGCGCTTTTGTGCTAGCAACACGTCCGTGGTTGTACCAAGACACCATTTCGTCCTTTGTACTTTAGGGTGGGAGGCCTGGAAATCTCCATTCTGATTATTTTCGCTCCACACTGAAGGTCCTACTAGAAAACACGTAGGCAGATTGGAAAAGAATTACTTGTCGAGGTTCTCCAGAACATCGAAAACGTCGATGTTAGTTTCGAGATGTAACTTCGTGTGGCCTTCTGGGTAAATAAGAACGTTTCGGAGAAACGTAACCCTTCCTTCTTCAGGACTAGCAGTATGTTTCCTCCGAAAGGCTACTTCTACCGACGCGCTCATTCTGCCAATTAAACAAAGATTTTGTACCTGGACCCTGGACTCCGGAAGGTTTATCTGGACGGCCACCTCCTCCCTCGTGAAGATGTCCGGGTAGCGGGTCTTCAGGAACAAGGCCTCCAGGACGTCCAGCTGCGCCCGGGTGAACGTCGTCCTCTCCCGACGCTGCTTACGGGGAGCCACCCCTAGAAGTATGCAGCAACCAGAGGAGCGAACATCAAAATTAGTATCGTCACACGTCACAGGTCACGAGAGAGCGCCTTCAGCTTACTTCAGCGTCGTGCGTGCAGGGTCCGAGTGGATGAACGGTTCTCTTTTAAAGCGTAAAGATTACGGAGACGAGAGGTTTTAAGACAGCTCCATAAATCCTAACGGAAACCGACGTGAAACAAAAGTGGGCATTACAAATTGTTTTGCATTCGGTTTCATTAATAGACGCAGATACGAAATTTCACAAAAATCGAGACAAACGGTTTCGAATTTTGATACGACGCGTACAGAGCACATGACGTGCTTACAAAGCGTTTTTTTTATAAAAAATTTTGTTTCCGAAAGAAAACATTTAATTCGTAACCCAAAACGAAGGATTGTAGGCGCAGGATGATAATGACACAAGTTCTCCGACGTTTCAGAGGGTCCTTGCTGGCTCCATGTTCGGACTCACCGCCGTGAAAACCTCAAATCCTACTTAGTAATAAATCAGCCTGACGAGGAACTGTTATGGTTTCGGAATACCGAAGATGTCGTAACAAACGCAGTTCGCACGGACAAAAATAAAAATCCGGAAAACGATAGAATAAGACTATCCAAATTCACTCCCGGATCGCGTGATTTCATCGACCTGGACCGAAATCAGCTCTTCAAAAGCTGCTGAATAAACAGGCGAAGTGTCGTCAAATCCGATCTGCAGTTTCAATTAACATTTGTACGTCATAAAATATTTTGTGCAATTAATCCGTCACTTCGCGTGGCGACAGAATCGATTCCTCGATTCACTCGCAACGCCATTTGGCCCCGTCTAAAACAGGGGTGGCCAATTATTTTAAACTGAAGGCCAGATCGAGCTATATCTAAGAGACAGTGAGACGGAGAGTACCGCAAGAAAATTTTAGTAGGTCTGCTTCTAAAATAATTTTTTAAAGAGCTGTGAAACATTCGACACGACTGACCACAATTCACTGGTTATTAGATTAATAAAATTACATTATTTATAATTAACAAGGGCAAATCCTTAAATCAGATTTGTACTCTAGAGAATTGCACACATTTTGAGGTAATCCCCATTCTATATTAAGGTGCACCTGTAAAATATTACAGAAGTAAATAATTAGGACCCCAAAATTTAAATTTTAAAAGCATCAAAATTTTCTTGCGATAACAACACATTCTGTACAACAGGTCTGAGAACGCAAAGACAAGCAATTTCCCTTCTTTTCAATAAGATCAGAAAATATTGCGTACTAAATGCCCAGCCCATGATACGATAAAAATTCTGATTGAGTAAAAGTATACATTAGACCATATTTTCGGGAGGACGTCTAAATCGGGACGTGGCCGTTCGGCCGCTGCGGAACTATCAGCGTACACGGAGGGTCCGTAGTCTCTCCCCCACTCGGCGCTAAGCCGGATTTACCCCGCGTGGGGCGGGATGGGGTGGATGGACCAGCCACGTCCTCAAAAGCTTCAGAACGCATCTGACTCACGTCGGAAGCTCGCCCATTAAAAAAATAATAAAATAAAAGTTTCGGCTCCCCCCTCCCCCTTGTTTTATGCAACCCAACCAGAAGTTGCACTTCTGATAAGCGCGTCTACTTCCAGAGGCTTTGCCATAAAACACGGTCAAATTTCCACGTTTTCAGCCGTGCCAGAGTCGACGCGCGACTTCTGTTTCGCCATCTTTCTATCCGTCCATCTTCAGATGCAACTCGTAAACATTTCACTTGTCATGGAGGGGCAAAGCCTCGCAGTGGGGAAACAATTTTTGCAACAACGAGTGTCAGCCGCTTTTCGGCTGTGCAAAAGTGCAGAGGAAATTCGTTTAAAACCGGAAGAAATCACTCGGTCCGTATTTTCGTAACAACACGCGTTACTTTCAGCCGGACAACTTCATCAAACACGGGGGTTCAATCATTTTTGTATTAACGAACAGCAGAACCACGGACCAACAAACCCGTCGTTCCCTTCCAACGAAGGGCGGCCTTGGCCATCGACTGTTAGAGTTTCAGGGCGTCGAGTTTACGCGATCACTTAACCATAACTTAGCTTATTAAAGCTACTAGTCGCTTAGCTCTTCAAGAGATTACCCGCCTTTTAATGTTCATAAGAGCCCTCCAGTCTTTCGACCCTGAAGACGGAGGCGATATATTTCCTCGAAACATGGACAGTCACTGCCGTGGAAACGTCGGATTTGGGTCTGACACGCGAGCCACAGGGTGACAAAGTACCGTTAGGGTCTCCCGTAGCTTTTGCATTTTTAATATTTCGACCTTTGTTCTTTTCTTAGCCTTGAGAGGGTTTGGGATTTGCGAAAGGCAGTAAGCCGATATTCCGCTGTTAATGCGATGCGCTTGGACGAAACATTTTCAGCAGTGAATCGTCGCATCGAGGACTTCGCCGAAAACTGACCGCTTCCTCGCGCTTCGTGCCAGAATTCACCAAATCCCAGTCGCGCTGAATTGTTCGTGTGTGTCGACGCTGTCAGCAAACACATTCCTCCGCAACGAAGCTGATCTCTCTAAAACGGACGGACGGACGCGAAGGAGAGAAGAAGAACTTGGAACCTCCTTCCCGCGAAGCCCAGGCAAAAATCACGTCTGTCTCTTTTCAATGCGGATATTGATATTCAATTGTTACAGATGGGAAACTTCGTTGGTGAATTGAATTCAAAATCAAGTCAGTGTAACGGAACGAACTAAATCTCCCGTTCCATTCATCTTTTCAGCTGTACACATTCTCACGGAAGGTTAGTTCCCTGTTTGAACGGATGGCGCGCTCAAATCTGATGATAATGGGAGTGAGAGAGTCTCTATCATCGGGGGGGGGGGGGG